GCGCGCTCGATCACGCGTGCGTATGTCCTTCGTTTCTTCTGTTGCATGGGATGTTTAAAAACTCATGTTTTTTGATAAACGAATGCGCTCGCATAGCATGTTGGCTGAGGATGGCTGGGGGGGGATGACAGCCCCCGTCGGATGGTGCGAGCTCATATTTCGGATGGGCCATGGGGCAGAACCATCTATAAAGTGCTATACGAAAAAATGGACCGGATAATCCCCGGGGGGTAGACTCTATTAATTGGGAAATGGAGAATTTATGTGGTGCAATCTACGTGGTGCTGCGTATGTGGTGCCGCATATGTCGTGCAATCTATGTGGTGCAACCTGCGTGGTGTAATCGAGTTGGTGCAACGTGCGTGGTGCAACCCATGTGGTGCAATTTATGTGATGCAATTTCTGTGGGGCGGCGTATGTGGTGCAGTGTATTTGGTACAGTATTCCTGGGACTATATAGTCGGCGCAATCTGTGTTGTGCAGTGTAAGGCGGCGACGAGGTGGCGACGGGGCGGCGACGGCGGCAGCATGTTTGCTTGACCTACACACGGGGGGCGACGGGGCGGCGACGGCGGCAACAGAGCTGCCAGACCGACCGACAGGCCCAGACGACGGGGGGCGACGAGGCGGCGATGGGGCGGCGACGGCGGCAACATAGCTGCCAGACCGAAGACACGGGCCAGTCCTTGAGAACAAAAGTGCGAACCCCTAAGCGCAAAGCGCAAGCACTGTTTGTGAAATGGTACTCGGGAAGCGTAGCGTCACTCACGCAGGGCGTACGGACGGACGATGACAAGTCAAAGGTGCTGTTCAGTATCGATTGCATTCCGCCCCGAAGTTGTTTGTATGCAGCTTCGCCTTCTTCATCAAGCTGCATACACGCATGTTGGGGGGGCATTCTTCTCTACGGGAATCCCAGATAAACCAAGCCCCGGTGCAAAAAAAAAGTTGCAGCTGCGTTCTATCATTGCGTCTTGCTGCAAACCATGAAATTGTATTGTGATGGATACGATGATGATTGCGATGGTGGTGATAATGAGGATCTTCGTGATGATCGGTGGTACGTATCATGACCATCCCTCGTAGTACTCATCACAAGCATCACCGAACAACTCCGTCTCTTCTGTAGCATCATCATCGCCGTTGTCGCAGTCATCACCACCGTCACCGTCACCATCAGCACGTATGCATCATCAGGTCACACACTTCTACATCGTCCTCGTCCTGCTCCTTTTCATCCTCATTGCCCCTTTTCATCCTGATTGCCATCATCATCATCATCATCATCATTATTATTATTATTATTATCATTATTATTATTATCATCATTATCGTCATCATCATCATCAGCATCCTCATCATAATCATCATCAACAGCATCATCATCATTACCATTGCCATCATCATCGTCATCATCGGTGTATCGCCCTTGCCTCCCTTGGCCGCCCCTTACCATCAGGGTACTCATGATGATCATCTTCCCCGTGCTCGTCCCCTCCCCGTGCGCTCCCTCCGCCTCGTTACGTACCATAGCCATGAACGCCCCTGTTTTCATTATCGCCACCAACGCCACCACCATCATCATCATCATCATCATCATCATCATCATCATCATCATCATCATCATCATCATCATCATCGTCATCACCACACGTCATCATTACCACGATAATCACCACCACCACCATCATCACCATCATCATCATCATCATCGTCATCGTCATCATCGTCATCATCGTCATCACCATCATCGTCTCATTAGCATCAGCATCACCACCACCACCATCACCATCACCATCACTATCACCATCACCATCACCATGACCGTCGTCATCATCATCATCATCATCATCATCATCATCATCATCACCATCATCATCATCATCATCATCATCATCATCATCATCATCATTTTCATCAGCACCATCATCAGCAGCATCATCATCATGATCATTACACCCGCCATCATTCAACCTCGTCGTCACCATCCTCGTAGTCGTAACCATCGCCATCATCATGTTTCCATGCCATTTTTGCAGGGGTTCGTTTGTCTGCCCGCAGAAGTGCCCTTCAACCCGCATGTCCGCAGCTGGGGGTTCCGAGGCTGCTTGCATGCAGGTTCGGGGGGTCCGAACCAGCACGGATAATTTCCGACTGGCGCCTCTGGCTCGTCATGTGCAGCATGAATTTCCCGCTTGGCATGCGAGCCCCAGCTCACAGGACGAGACAAAACTCGACGGCCTCCAGATCCAGCTCTCCATCCCAGGTCGCCTTTTGACACTCCCCGGGCCTGGAGAGGGCCCCCAGAATCGAACACTCTCCGCCGTGACCTCTCGCAACGCGAGTGCGGCATCCTTGCCCCCAGAGCTCCCTGGAGGCCCCTTTGAGGCCTCCGGAGGTCCCGCAGAGGCCCTGCGCGGGCCAGAACAAACGTCCGACAACCTCCCTCCTCGACCTGCGCCGCCGACTCTGAAGGGAGACGACGGCGACGATGACGACGACGACGACGACGGCGACGACGATGAGGACGACGAGGGCAAAACTGGGCACTATATTGAGTCGGGCATGTCCCTCTACAGGAGGAGTATCCAAAAATGGCCCAAAAAATAGTCAGGGGACTATTTTTCTACTATTTTAACGAATTTGAGCACTTTTTGGCAGTCTTTATTCCCAACCCTCCTGCGTTGGGTTCTCGTTTTGAATAGAGCACTGCTCGCAAGTCTCCTTCCTTCCTTCCCGTCCCTCTCTTCCCCCCTGCCTTTTACCCCGCTCGTCGCCATCCCTGGGGGGCTGCGATCTGTGAAACTGTCGCCACTTTCGAGGCCTGCTGGGGGGCCCAGAACAGTGGGTACCCACCACAGACTCACATGGGACCTCGCCTTCCCTGGGGGGCTGCGATCTGTGAAACTGTCGCCACTTTCGAGGCCTGCTGGGGGGCCCAGCACAGTGGGTACCCACCGCAGACTCAAATGGGACCTCGCCATCCCTGGGGGGCTGCGATTTGTGAAACTGTCGCCACTTTCGAGGCCTGCTGGGGGGCCCAGCACAGTGGGTACCCACCGCAATCTCAAATGGGACCTCGCCATCCCTGGGGGGCTGCGATCTGTGAAACTGTCGCCACTTTCGACCTGGGGGGCTGCGATCTGTGAAACGGTCGCCACTTTCGAGGCCTGCTGGGGGGCCCAGCACAGTGGGTACCCACCGCAGACTCAAATGGGACCTCGCCATCCCTGGGGGGCTGCGATCTGTGAAACTGTCGCCACTTTCGAGGCTTGCTGGGGGGCCCAGCACAGTGGGTACCCACCGCAGACTCAAATGGGACCTCGCCATCCCTGGGGGGCTGCGATCTGTGAAACGGTCGCCACTTTCGAGGCCTGCTGGGGGGCCCAGCACAATGAGTACCCACCGCAGACTCAAATGGGACCTCGCCATTACTGGGGGGCTGCGATCTGTGAAACGGTCGCCACTTTTTCGAAGCCTGCTGATGGGGCCCAGCACAGTGGGTATTCACCGCAGGCTCAAATTAGACCTCGCCATCCCTGGGAAGCTGCGCTCTGTGAAACTGTCGCCACTTTCGCGGCCTGCTGAAGGGCACAGCACAGTGGGTACCCACCGCAGGCTCAAATGGGACCTCGCCATCCCGGGGGGGCTGCGATCTGTGAAACGGTCGCCACTTTCGAGGCCTGCTGGGGGGCCCAGCACAGTGGGTACCCACCGCAGATTCAAATGGACCTCGCCATCCCTGGGGGGCTGCGATCTGTGAAACTGTCGCCACTTTCGAGGGCTGCTGGGGGGCCCAGCACAGTGGGTACCCACGCGGATTCAAATGGGACCTCGCCATCCCTGGGGGGCTGCGATCTGTGAAACTGTCGCCACTTTCGAGGGCTGCTGGGGGGCCCAGCACAGTGGGTACCCACGCGGATTCAAATGGGACCTCGCCATCCCTGGGGGGCTGCGATCTGTGAAACTGTCGCCACTTTCGAGGCCTGCTGGGGGGCCCAGCACAGTGGGTACCCACCGCAGACTCAAATGGGACCTCGCCATCCCTGGGGGGCTGCGATCTGTGAAACTGTCGCCACTTTCGAGGCCTGCTGAAGGGCCCAGCACAGTGGGTACCCACCGCAGACTCAAATGGGACATCGCCATCCCTGGGGGGCTGCGATCTGTGAAACTGTCGCCACTTTCGAGGGCTGCTGGGGGGCCCAGCACAGTGGGTACCCACCGCAGACTCAAATGTGACCTCGCCGTCCCTGGGGGGCTGCGATCTGTGAAACTGTCACCACCTTCGAGGCCTGCTGAGGGGCCCAGCGCAGTGGGCACCTACCGCAGACTCAAATGTGACCTCGCCATCCCTGGGGGGCTGCGATCTGTGAAACTGTCGCCTTTTTCGAGGCCTGCTGGGGGGCCCAGCACAGTGGGTACCCACCGCAAACTCAAATGGGACCTCGCCATCCCTGGGGGGCTGCGATCTGTGAAACTGTCGCCACTTTCGAAGCCTGCTGGGGGGCCCAGCACAGTGGGTACCCACCGCAGACTCAAATGGGACCTCGCCATCCCTGGGGGGCTGCGATCTGTGAAACGGTCGCCACTTTTTCGAGGCCTGCTGGGGGGCCCAGCACAGTGGGTACCCACCGCAGACTCAAATGGGACCTCGCCATCCCTGGGGGGTGCGATCTGTGAAACTGTCGCCACTTTCGAGGCCTGCTGAGGGGCCCAGCGCAGTGGGCTTCCCGCACGTTTGTCTCCTGCTCTTCGTTCCCGACTCCCCATGTCCTCTTCGAGCCTGTAGCTGTTACCCCTCTTTCTTGTATGGTTCTCCTGCGCATCATGCCATAGGCGCGTGTCCAAAGTAGCTTGCATATCAATCAACGGATCCTGCAATTTGATTGTCCACGTAAGTTTCGGCCAACTCTTCGTTTCCCATGATACACATGGGTTGGGTACGTCACATTTTTCGTCCAAAATCCGCCCGTCGGGGGGCAAGACCGACCTAACACTAGGACGAGACGGAACTCGACGGCCTGCGCCTGGAGTTCGACGACTGGGCCGACGTGCTGCAGATGCACGCGGCCGCCGCTGCGGGCCACCAAGGTCGGTGACCGCCGCACCCACCCGAGGAGGCGGAGGAAGACGAGGAGGCGGAGGAGGACGAGGAGGCGGAGGAGGACGAGGAGGAGGAGGAGGAGGAGGAGGAGGAGGGGGAGGAGGAGGGGGAGGAGGGGTAGGAGGAGGAGGAGGAGGAGGAGGAGGACGACGAGGAGGACGAGGAGGAGGAGGGGGAGGAGGAGGAGGAGGAGGAGGGGGAGGAGGAGGGGGAGGAGGGGGAGGAGGAGGAGGAGGAGGAGGAGGAGGAGGAGGAGGACGACGGGGCGGGGCCTCTTCGGCCTCGCCCCCCCCGTCCTCGTCGTCGTCCTCGTCTTGTGATGTCCCAGCCTACTTTCGCCTTGGGCGCTGGAAAGGATCTCGAGCACCAAGAAAGTACCGAAACTCAAGGGTTTTCACGCGTCGGGCCTTGGGACACACTCGTTCGACACTGTTTCGACACTTTTTCGATACTTTTCGGGTGCTCTAAATTATTTCTGGGATGTGGTCCGTAAGTACGATGGGAGCAACATAGTCCTCGTCACCTTCCTTGTCGTCGTCTTCTTTCTCGTTGTCGTCGTCGTCATGCCCTGAGATCCTGGCGTCTCAATTTCTGTTGAGCCGGGCGTTTCCGCCCAGTTTCGGGGCACCGGGACCCTTACAGAGTGATCCAGCTCGGGAAATGGGGCAGACTGATTGGGCCCACGGCTCTGGTCGTGATTGTATCAGACGTTGCATCTGCTTCGCTACGTCGGATCTCAGGGTCGTCCTTCTCCTCTGCCGCGGCTCCCGCTTCCCCCTCCAAGTCCTGTTGCAGTGGCAGCCCATGCCAAGAGACACCCTGCTTGCCTCCAGGGTGCCCTGGGTTTCTTGGGTTTCCATGGTTCTGCAATGGCAAGCGTGAACTCCCCACACCAAAACCAATGGACGTCCTGGGTTCCAGGGTTGGGTTTCTTGTGGAAGGTTTCTCGTGGTCGGGCTCCTGTCCTACAAGGACTGCGGCGGCTGGTGCCGCCTCCGCCGCCAGCTGGTTGATTCAGACGGCTTCGCTCTGCCTCGAGTCCTCGAGGCCTCGTCGTCGCTGTCCTCCTCCTTGTCGCCCTCGTGTACAGTGGGGGCGCGCATCAAGAAACCAGATGCTTTTCGTCAGGGTATCCTAGGTTTCTTCGCTCCTCGCGCTGCGCGGTGACTTCCCGCAGCCGTTGAAGGAGCTGCTGCGTTCAGGGTGCTCCGGGTTTCCCCCAGGTGCACCTCGCGCACGGGTTCTCAGGGTTGGGTTTCTTGCGAGGGCTTCGTGCGGCCGCGCCCGCACTGTAGCCAGCTCTGGCACGGCGGAGTCCCCTTCCCGTCCAGTCGGGCAGCTGGCAGCTCATCGGCTCGCTCGGTGCAGCGGCCTCTCGGAGCTTCCTGGTCGGGGCTCTCGAGCGTCGCCCCCTGCTCGGGGGCCCCAAACTATGTGGCTGTGGACGACGATCAAGGGAGAGGAAGCGCGTTGCCAACGAATTGCAGACGTCTACCACATGCGTTGAAACTGCCTGAAACGAGTAACGAGCATGTGTTAGACATGTTCAGAGCAGTTTCCTACATGTTGAGCACATCTTGAATTTGTCGGGCCTGTCCCCCTACAGGGAGATTCTCGACGACAAATAAATCATACCCCAACAATAGTCAAACCATAGTCCAAAAACAGCCTGGGGACTATTTCTGAGTAGTTTTCGACCTTTTTGGAGCATGTTTGGTGTATTTTTCACTGTTCGTCGAACATCCCCCTGTAGGGGGGCACGCCCGACATAAATCTTGAATCCAATGATAGGACCGTTAGGGTGCTTCTTGTTCGGGCGAAGAGAATTATGCACATGCACCGATCCTGGCAAGGCTCATCCTTGACCCATGATCGGTGCATATGCCTTCCTGGCCAAGGTAGGAGGGCATATGCACCGATCCTGGGCTCAGGATGGGCCTGGCCAGAATCGGTGCATGTGCATAGTTCTTTTTCCTCTATCTTGTCATGGCGTCCGCAGCGATGTGGTGACCACGCCGCATCCCCGCGCGGTTCTGCGGGACTCGTCTCGGCTCGTTCCCCGAAGGCGCCTCGGGCGACCGAGGCCTCCCGAGGTCCCAGGGCCGCGCGGCGGGATCTCTCTTGGGACTTCGAGGTCACCTCCTCCTCGTCCTTCTCCTCCTCCTCCTCCTCCTCCTCCTCCTCCTCCTCATTCCCGTCCTCCTCCTCCTCCTCCTCCCTCCCTCCTCCTCCTCTCCTCCCCCTCCTCCTCCTCCTCCTCCTCTCTCTCCTCCTCATCCTCCTCCTCCTCCTCCTCCTCCTCCTCCTCCTCCTCCTCCTCCTCCTCCTCCTCCTCCTCCCCCCACGGTCCGTCACCACACGGTTTAGGGGCCCCGAACCCTCACTCGCTTGGCCAGAAGGACCCCGAGGAATGAGGGCACTGGCGGCGGTTGTTTTTGTGGCTCTGCGGGAATCTATCTACAGTAACTAGACACATGCAACAGAAGCTCTTGCTCCAACGCATCCTAGTGCACACTCTTCGTCGATGCTCCAGGCTCCTGAGGTGCCCCAGGGCTTATGTGGGTCTCTGGGGCCATCGGGGGATCAGACATTTCAGTGGGGCACCTGCTTGCAGGCCGTTTTCTTATTGCGACGGCCTCGCGGCCGGTGCCGCCGACACGGAAGGACGACGACGACGGCGACGACGACGACGACGAGAAGGCGAGCACGCGAAAAACATAGAAATTTCATGATAATCAGTGACTGTTGCTTCTTGGGGTTCCCTTTGGGTGCTCTTGGAACCCTCCTGGGGCGTATTGTCATGTACGCGGAAGGCACGTCCGTGGCCATTCAGGTTCAAGGCTCAAGTTCCAACCTCTCTCCAGGGGGGCTGGAGCTTGATGTAGTCGTGGGCATGAGTGTCGGACCCGGCGGACGGCACGAGCAGGTTGGCGCGCACGCGGGCCGTGCGCGATGGTGCGGCGCTGAGCGGGCTTGCGTGCAGCAGGGCAGCCATGCCGTCGCGTGGCAACCGCGTGGGCGGACGTGGCTGTACATCCCTCCGTCTCTGCTCCTGCCCTTGCTCTGCTGCTGCCCATGCTTTGCTCTCTCTCTCTCTCTCTGACTCTCTCTCTCTCTCTCTTTCTACCCCTTGGGGGCTCCAGCCTTTCTGGGTCCAGCTTGCCCACCCTGTCTTGGGGCCCATCAAGGACACCACCCGACCTGTGCTTGGCAGATTTCCGCCGCGGCGGCGGAGTCACGTTTCGCGTGGCGGAAGGATGCCAGATGGGGCGAGCGCATCTCATGGTTGACAGGGGCGGCGATGCTTTGGACGACCGTTTTTTCTTCCCTTCTGCGACGCGAATGTAGGAACATAAGTATGTTTTCGACGGAGCGCCAGGAACCTTGCCGCCCAATCGGGGAAAACTGTGTTCGCGCCTGCGGCAGGCCGCGTGCTCGCTGCGCCCAGCAAAGAGAGAACGACGAGCAGGAGGAGAGGAGGGAAGCAAATATCGAAGAGAGAACGGACGGGGGGGTGATGAGGGCTCTGAGAAAACGGGGATGGACGAACGCGCTGACGAAGACCGTAGTGAGCGATGGCGAACATGACGACGATCGGCGTTGGAACCTGCCAGGGCAGGTGGTGCTGGCGATCTGCAGATCTTGTCTGGAGTTTCCTTATGATGCCCACTTCCGTGACCAGCGTTCGATCGTGGCGCTCGGCCCTGACATGAAACAAGTTCGTTCGCAACGCGAGCCCCCGCGGAGGTAGCTGAACACGCACAAATGTTGCAGTGTGTATTTCCGCGGAGACCCGTGCGATTGTTTCTGCGTAGACCAGCCCGCGCAGAAATCATTGCAGAACCTGCCTGGCTCACGCCGCATCGCCTCCGTGACAGTCCGACTTGCCCTCTGTTTGTCACTTTTTGTTGGCCGCCCCCAGGATCGGATAATGGGGGGGGGGGACAGGAGGGGGGTCTGAAGGGAAAGTAACAGAAGGAGGAAGAGGAGAAGGAGCAGCCGCAGCAACAGGAGGACGAAGGGGGATGATCAGGAGGCTGAGGACATAGGAACACAGATGTGCGAAAGCGAGGAGGAGACGGTGGAGGAGGAGGAGGACGGACAAAAAGGGGGGTGAGTGAAGGAGGACGAGACGGGGGCATGGGACGAACCGTTTTGTTTTGCTCGTTCGCCTCTTCATTTTCGTCCGATTGCTGCCTGACCTCCTGGAGTCCCGACACCGACCCGAGAAGACGGACGACCTCCTCCCGACCGCTTCCTCGCATCCAAGATGGCCTCATCGATTCCGCTATGCTATGGGCGTCAAACACAAGCCAAGCTTTTGGAGCATGCCATGGGAACCTCAAGCCGCGCTGTTGACCACCATTCGATCAATTTGAAACCGTATGATGGGACGTGCCAGCGTGCAACTGTGAGCTTGTCAGTGGTTGGGGCTTGCTCGAACCCAAACGCGTGCGACGCGCGCGCGTGATTCAAGGGAAAAATGTGTGTGCCCATTCGTGTCAGTCGCGGGCCTGCGTCTGACGCGTTTGTTGGCCCGAATTTCCACGCGTCCAGGACGCAGAAGGAATACCCACCATGCGGTTGGCGTATCCCGGGCTCGCGGGAATACGAGCGCGCGGATAGAGATATCTAGCATGCGTTCGGCATTCGCGTTTTTGACACATGTTTCCAAGGCTCAGTGTGCGCGTGAGAGAAAGAGAGGGAGAGAGAGAGAGAGAGAGAACGCAAAACAACAGACTCACCCGCACCGTGGTATCCAGTATGTGTGTTGCGCAAATTTTGACGTGTTTCTTGCAGCCACTGCTCCAGAAGGCCCTGGCGTGTCCGACAGCAATATCATGACGACGACGGGCTTAGTGACGAAGTCTCATACGGAATGCGCGGTCTGCTTTACGCGGCGTATCGCAGGACACCGCACAACCAAACGAGCATAAAGCAAACGTTCCACAATAATGTATGACTCGAGCTTCTTGCCGGGCTCGTGGATCCTTCAAGTTCCCCAGCCACGGCTCGTTCTACTGTCCGATCAGCGAGCGGGCGGGGAAAAGGAGAATTCCCAGCCCCAGTGGTCGGGAGTTGCTACAGGTGCCCCTGGCCCACGGTGCCCCCAGGTTTTCGCTCAATCTTGGAGCCCTTTGGGCCTTTTGGGCCTCGCGAAGGGTGGTCTTCGTTGGACATCCTAGGGGCACTTTGGGCCAGGGGTACATCCAGGATCAGTCGAATTGGGGCCTTGCGGAGGCCTCCAAGGGTAAGCATAGACTGCAACAGAGCCAAATTCCAGTAACAGAAACAAGAGTCTCGAGCGTGGACCTTCGAGGGGGCTTCTCGAGGAGGAGGAGGAGGAGGATGAGGAGGAGAAAAAGGAGGATGTGGAAGAGGAAAAGGAAGACGAAAAGGAGGAGGGTTCTCGAGGAGGAGGAGGAGGAGGACGTGGAGGAGGAGAAGGAAAAAGGAAAAAGAGGAGGGTGGTTCTCGAGGAGGAGGAGGAGGAGGAGGAGGAGGAGAAGGAGGACGTGAAGGAGGAGAAGGAAAAGGACAAGGAGGGTGGTTCTCGAGGACGTGGAGAAGAGGAAAAGGAGGACGTGGAGGAGGAGAGGAAAAGGAAAAGGAGGACTGTTTTCGAGGAGGAGGAGGAGGAGGAGGAGGAGGAGAAGAAACAAAAATAAGGATGACGTGGAGGAGGAGAAGGAAAAGGAAAAGGAGAAAGTCTTCTCGAGGAAGAGGAGGAGAGGGAGGACGTGGAGGAGGAGAAGGAAAAAGCAGGAGGAGGAGGAGAAGGAGGACGTGGAGGAGGAGAAGGGACATGAAAATGAGGAGGATTCTCCAGGAGGAAAACGAGGAGGAAAAGGATGAGGAGGAAGATCACGCGACGAGGACGACCACGAAGATGACGACGGTAGTCACTGCGACAAAGATGACGAGAAATGACGAGGACGAGATGGAGGAGCAGGAAAGGAGTAGGAGGAGGAGGAGGAGGAGGAGGAGGTGGTACGACAAGCTCCGCATGCCTTAAGGGGTTCGAGCCCCGAAGCCTCGTAACCTCCAGATTGTTGTGCCTCATCTTGTGGCCTACAGGTGCATGAGATGTTTGAGGCCTCCCTTCCGTGCCATGACCTAGCACTGGGGATGTGAGGGTCCCAGCATAAACACCATGGGCACGTATCGAGTGCTCTGACCTTCCAATGATTTACTCTGTGCAGTACGGTGGATTTGCCTCCTCGAAGTCAGGGGGTAAACTGCTGTGGTGATGTACCAAAGCCAAAAGGAGCTCGGAACCTTTCAAACTTTTCAGGGGTATGGCTCCAGGGACGGGGTCCAGATTCGGCCAGTCCCTTCCCCTGTCGTCCCTCCCCTCATTTACCCTTCCCCCGACCTGTGATCTCCCTATTTCTGTCGTGGTGCGTCGCTTGGAAGCAAGAGGACGGCCGTTCGTGGTGACACAGTCCAGAGCCTCGAGCCCTCGAGGAGCACGAGGACGAGGGGGGCAAGGACGAGGAGCACGAGGAGAACAGAGGGGACCGGCGCAAGGACGAGGACGAGGACGAGCGTGAGGCACGAGAAGATCGAGGATCGAGCAGGAGGGCCCGCCCGCCAGGCGGGGGCCTGGGCGGCGGCGCGACGATGGTCTACGCCGAGGCGGCGTCCCGGCAGCAGGGCTCTCCGGACCGTCGCGGGGGGGGGCGGGGGTCGGGGATCGCTCGCTCGGCGTGGCGCCCTCCCTCCTTCGGGAGGAGGGGGAGGAGCAGGAGGGGGAGGGGCCAGGGGGGGGGGGGGCAGGGGGGAGAGGGGGCGTCGGGCGGGGGAGGCAGGTGGGAGTAAGAGGAGGGAGAGAGTGAGGGAGGCAGGAGGAGGAGGAGGAGGAGGAGGGGAGGAGGAGGAGGGGGAGGAGGAGGAGGAGAGGGGAGGAGGGAGAAGGAGGAGAGGAGGAGGAGGAGGAGGAGGAGGAGCAGCAGGAGCAGGAGCAGGAGCAGGAGCAGGAGCAGGAGGAGAAGCTAGAGGAGAAGGAGGAGGAGAGGAGGAGGAGGAGCAGGAGGAGGAGGAGGAGGAAGAGGAGGAGGAGGAGGCGGAGGCGGAGGCGGAGGTGGAGGAGGAGGAGGAGGATACAGAGCAGGCGACAAGAGATCCAGAGCCGGCCACTGAACTTCTGCCGCGTGAGTCTCTTGCCCAACCGCCGCCGGGCTGGCCGCACCTCGACCCCCGAGCTGCCCCGGCCCTTGCCGCGGGCTCCGACACAGCGGAGCACCACGGCGTGGCGCCGCGAGCGCCCTCGGCCGAGGGCGGGGCCCCTCGGCCGCTGCTCCGGGCCGGCTCCCGCCGTCGAGGGCCGGACACCGCCGAGCCAGCCGGCAGGCATGCGCCGAGCCCCCCTTCAGGCTTCGGCCTCGGCCAGCCCCGAGGCTCGGCCTCGGCCCTCGAGCCCTCGGCCCTCGAGCCCTCGGGCCCTCGCCCTCGGCCTCGGCCTCGGCCCTCGGCCCTGGGCCAGCCCTGAGGCTGGCAGGCATCCGTCGAGCCCTCGGCCTCGGCCCTCGGCTTCGGCCTCGGCGCTGCAACGTTTTCGCCCTGGGCGTGTTCGCGGGGCGTCGGGCCCCCGGGCCATCACGGGCCGATGCGGCTCGGAGAGTGGCGCACGAGGCGGGGTTCCGGCCATGATCGTCGCGAGGTTGCAATTTCTTCGCGTCGTCGGATCTCAGGGTCCGAGGAAGACGGGGTTGAGTGCCGTGTGTGTGTGTGTGTGTTCTACGCCGCGCCGCCGCGCGCGTGGAGTGTGTGCGTTTGTGTGCGTGTGTGTGTGTGTGTGTGCGTGTGTGTGTGTGTGTGCGTGTGTGTGTGTGTGTGTGTGTGTGTGTGTGTGTGTGTGTGTGTGTGTGTCCGTGTCCGTGTCCGTGTCCGTGTCCGTGTGTGTGTGTGTTGTGTGTGTGAGAGTTTCTCTTCCTGCATATCATCGTGCGACTCCTCCCACACCAGTCTGTATATTGCCTTCGGCATCTTCCACGTGCATCCGCTTCGGCAGTCTCCGACTGCATAATTACGTCGGCCACGTCCGTCCTGACCACCCGTCTGCAAGGCCAGGCGGCGATTGGCAAGCAGGCGTGGCCCGCCCTGACCTTCGCTGCGGTGACATGCGCCCAGCCGCCGACGAACAAGTGTCTGCGTGTGTGGGTATCCTGGCCAGGGCCACGAAACCTCCCAGACTCCATGGCCCCGCCTGCTCCTCTCTGTGCGCTCCACGGTCCTGCGCCCTCTCGTCCCCGAGCGGCGCGCGCGCCGGCGTGCTCCGCCTTTGGGCGCGGCATCGGCGCTCGTCCTCGTCGCGCCCCCCCTTCCCCCCCCCCCTCCGATCGTCCTTGCACGTGGCCTGGGCCAGGGTGCACTGACCCCCCTCTCCCCGGCCCCCATTGTTGCTCGGCGCACCCCCGAGGAGGGGCGAGGGGGGGGGGCGATCTCCTTGGGGCCAGGGGGAGCAGGCCTCCCCCGCCGGCGGCCGCCGCTGACGCGTTCGAGTTGCAGCGGCTTCGCGGATGGAGGGCGGTTCTTGGATGGTTGAAATCTTAGGGAGGGTTTTATGGCACGATTTAAGGTTGCCTGGACGCAGCAGTCACGCTGACTCGCGGTGTTGTAATTCCAGGAATGGTATTGTTCGGCACGGTTTTGGATCGTCCGGACGCAACAGTCACGTTGACCTGCGGCACGACAATTCCAATAATGATGTTTTAGCACGACTGCGGGTTCTCAGACAGTTGTCTTCACATGGGACACTTCCCGGACGAGATGGCAGCGGCCCTTCAATCTCACTGGTCGTCGGTGTTCGCATCCTGTCACATTGACCGCCGTCGCTTACGTAATTGGCTCCGCGAAAACGTTTCTGCCAAGGGGCTACCGCCACCGCCCCCAGACAGCCAGTTATGCGCGCCCGCTCGAGAGCATGTTCGGGCTGCCGTGGGGACGTCGCCAAACAGCGCTCCAGGACAGGATGGAAAGCCTTTTCTCGATTGTCGGGTTGACCCAAAAGGGGCTCCAACGACAAGGGGGTGGTGCAATAGATTTGGCGCAGTAGATTTGTGAGGTTGCTATACATTTTGGGCGTGCAATGCATTCCGGGGCGCAGATGTATTGCTGCACTGTCGCGTGCAATACATCACTTGCAGCACAATGCAACACGATTCTCCGGCGCAGTACATCTGCAATTCAACCGCCCGAAATTCAGTGCGCCGCCCCCTTTTCGCTGGACCCCCTCTGGGGTCACCCAAAAGATTGGTGCGCGCTGGGTCCACTGGCCGTGGGCGCCTTGCACGGTGCGTCTGCAGCACCTGGCCTCCTGCCCCGGGGAATCCCTGGAGGGGCCCTGCGCTCCCAGGGCATCTGACAGCAGCGGCAGCACGGTGCTGCTGCTCTGCTCCCCAAAGCGCCCCTCGGGAACGACGAGCGCGCCGGCGAGGTCAACGCAACCATGTTGCAGTGCGCCCCGAGTGACGAGGCAGGCATGGCCGCATTCTTCGAGTTCAGTGCGGCGTTCCCAGGTGCCGCACATGATTTTCCTACGTGAAGCCCTTGCTGCAGTTGATCTCATTCCGTGGGCGTTGAGGTTCGTCGCCGCTCCCCGCCAGAAAAAGAACATGATCGACCCACGAACCCGGAAAGGCATATAGAAATGTAAGGCATGGCAACGCTTCATAGACATGCAATGCTGAGTGTATCGATCTTGATGTACCGTGCCGAGGGCTGTGTTGTGCTGCGCCGTGCTGAATTGCGGTGTGCCATGCCGAGATTGTGCTCTACAGCGTTGTGGATCGAGCCCTCCTTTGCATCCGAGTCCTGACCGAACTGATCTGGATCTGAAGCTCGAGCTGCCTGGGCACATAGTAGCTGCCCCAGAGCTAATTGACAGGGGAACATGCCAGGACGACGCGCCGCGGAACGTCCCAAGGGACGCGCCAGGCGACGTGCCGGAGGACGTGCCATGGGGACGCACCGCGGGACGTGCCAAGGGGACTCACTACGGAACGTGCCAATGGACGTGTCACGGGTCGTGCCAGGGGACGCGCCGCGCGACGTGCCAGGGGGACTCGCCACTGGACGCGCCACGGAACGTGCCAGGGACCGTGCCAGGTTGCAATGCTGAGTGTATCGATCTTGATGTACCGTGCCGAGGGGTGTGCTGTGCTGCGCCATGCCGAGATTGTGCTCTACAGCGTTGTGGATCGAGCCCTCCTTTGCATCCGAGTCCTGACCGAACTGATCTGGATCTGAAGCTCGAGCTGCCTGAGCACATAGTAGCTGCCCCAGAGCTAATTGACAGGGGAACATGCCAGGAGGACGCGCCGCGGAACGTCCCAAGGGACGCGCCAGGCGACGTGCCGGAGGACGTGCCATGGGGACGCACCGCGGGACGTGCCAAAGAGGGACGCGCTACGGAACGTGCCGATGGACGTGCCACCTCATGCTAGACATCTGCCTGGGCGAACTGGAAGGGAAAACAAGTGCTTCGCTCAAAACATCCTCAACACATCTTTATGTCAGACGTCCGTTCCAGGCCCCGAGGAAGGCCCCACGAGGCCCATGTTAGATACCCCCTACGTGGCCTGGACACGTGAAGGCACTTGGTTCCGCCATGTTAAATACCCCCCTGGGTTGCCTGGACACGTGTAACCACGCGGTTCCGATTCGGGACAATCATGTTGGATACCCCCTGGGTGGTCTGGACACGTAAACACACGTGGGACCAGCTCTGGGCAACCATGTTGGATACACCCCTGGGTGGCCTGGACACGTTAAAACATGTGATCCTTGCTCGGGACAGCCATGTTAGATATCCCCCTGGGTGGCCTGCATACGTAAAAGCACGTGGTGCCAGCCCGGGACAATCATGGTAGATACCACCCTGGGCGGCCTGGACACGTGATAAGAGAGTGGCCCGCACCCTGTGGTTTGTCGATCGGGATTTCAACAACCAAGGCTTCGCCAGAGAACTCCTCATATCCTAATTCGCCTGTCCTGCTCGACCTCTCGTCATTCATCAGGGAGAGAGAACTGGCCAAAACTCGGCTGGGGGGGGGCGGCGTAAAGCAGGGGCGGCTTCGCCGGCGGAGAGGCCGGCGGGAGCCGGCGGAAGCGGAGGTCGACATCCCGAGAGATCACAACAGTTCAGAGTCCCGAATCATCAGGGGTAACTCGGGTCAGGGCTAACTCGGGTTCGTTTTTCGGGAATCCGAACCCGAGTTACCCCGGACCCGAGTTACCCCGGATAGTTCGGGCGTCCAGAGCCCCGAATCATCAGGGGTAATTGAGGTCAGGGCTAACTCGGGTTCCTTTTTCGGGAACCCAAACCCGAGTTACCCCGGACCCGAGTTACCCCGGATAACTCGGGCGTCCAGAACCCCGAATCATCAGGGGTAACTCGGGTCAGGCTAACTCGGGTTCCTTTTTCGGGAACCCAAACCCGAGTTACCCCGGACCCGAGTTACCCCGGATAACTCGGGCGTCCAGAGCCCCGAATCATCAGGGGTAACTCGGGTCAGGGCTAACTCGGGTTCCTTTTTCGGGAACCCAAACCCGAGTTACCCCGGACCCGAGTTACCCCGGATAACTCGGGCGCCCAAACAGTTTTGGGTTCAGGGTTCCTGGTGCTCGTCAAGTGCCCGTCCACCTGGTCAGTCCTCACCACCCACCAAGCCACCCCAACCCAACCCGAAGGCCCAGATTGATCCTCGATTTCCAGTGGGGGGGGGGTCGGGGAACATGGAAAAAACACGTGGAACCCGTACCCCCCCCCCAACTCGAAGTTCGGGTCCAATTCGGGTCTTCGGGTTGGGTTGGGGTGGTCTGGTAGGTAGTCAAGTCCCCTGGGCAGGTCTTCGGTGCTTGCGTCATCCCCAACCACTTTCGACGACTGTCCCCGCTCGAGGAGCCTCGCCGTGGGCATTCGAGGCCCTTGTGTCCTTGCCGCGCATCCTTTCTATGTGGGTTGACTGTGCAGTGCCGTTTTTAGTACATGCTCCGCGTGCGGATCATGTATTAAAAATGCATGGGTTCAGTATTAAAGACTACGATGAGTTCGTGCATAAAGTTATTCATAAATTAAGCATGCTTTAAAATCCCATATTTTAGAAAATCCCATGTATTAAAAACTGCCCTGTACCTCGGTCCTGCTCGTCCGTCCTGCTCTTTTCTCCAGGCCCGCGAGCTTCGCTTACCGCCGCCAGTTGCGATCACCAGCGCTCCGAAGCGCTTCCTCCCGGGGCACTGTTTTCGCTGGCGGCCACCGCTTGCGTTCCAGGCGAAGTTTCCGCGCCGGTGCGTTTTCGGCCGCATCATGCTCGTCGCGCGCCGCTTCACGGTCGGCTGCCCGTCAACCTCACCAAGTCCGCCGGGCTGACGGCCACTTAAAATACTTCGGTGCCTTGCCAGTTTTTTCCCGCTCGCCCGGCCTCGGCCGCCCACTGCTTGTTGCGCAGCCGCGCTCTTGCGCCCTCCTGCACTTCGTCGGCACGCCCGCGACGGTCTGCACGATCTGGGCCGGTATGTTTTCTCCTCCCCCCTGCTTTCCCCCCGTGCCGCCGTGCCCCAATTCGCTTCCGGCACGTCCCGCCCGTAGCCCGACTGGCGCCTGCACCTGCTTTGGCTCGTTGGCGCCCGCTGACTAAAAGTGTGTGTGTGTGGTTGTGGTTGTGTGTGTGCGCGCGTGTGTCTCTGTGTGTGTGTGTTGTGAACTTCGTATCCGTCCTTCTCCTCCTCCGCGGGCCACCCCTGGCCAGCTTTCGAGCTGTTTCTGGCCACGGCACGGCGACCAGAGACCTACAGCAAACGCCCGCGAACCTCCAAAACTTCGGCGCCGTCCGCGCCGACGCCGTCGCCGTCGCCGTCGTCGCTTCAGAATTGGCTCCGGGACCCTTCCAGATTGACGTGGGCCCGCTTTCCCATCCCCTGGGTTGATTTTTGAAGGTATTGGATGGATACCGACACAAGCTTCCAGGATTCGGAAGCGGCGAATATCTTGCAGCGTAGGTCGTCGTCGCGGTTACTATCGCCGTCGTCTCCGTATCCGTTGTTTTCGTCGTCGCCATCGATGTCGTCGTCCGCTC